GTGTTCATTGCTGCAAGGGTAGCATAGCCGGGTTCTGAGAGACAAAACACTTCCCTCACTTCCCACCCAAGAGTTTCGCCTGCTTTCTTGCCCCTCTGAGGTGTGCGTTGGTGTCACTCACTGGCCACCGTTCCAGCTCTTAATTCCTCTGCCTTTTGTGCTAGCCTTCAGGGCTCTCCTGAGGGTGACTGGTTCTCAGGTTGGCTGGAGGAATGGGTGGAGTTGTAAGATCAGGAATAAAGCTAGAGAGGGAGGACCAAGCGGAAGTCACTGATGCAGCCGCCTTCTAGCCTACCCGACCCTAATTGAGAGGTCGCTTTTTCCTGTTGAACATGTTGGATAGTGGGATGTGTTATAAGAAGTGATGTGTGTGGCTTCTTGTCATTGCAGGATTGTCAGCTGACCTCTGTCCTGTGGGCCAGGTGGCCCCAGGTCACATTTCTTCAAGAAGAGGCTGAACTGTGGTGCTTGTAAGGTATGAATCTTGGGTGCTTCTCTAGAGAATGCACTGGTGTTCAGGCTGCAAGGACGAAGGCTTTGAGGTCACTAGAGGGGAGGCAGAGGCTGCTTCCCATTGCTTGCTCCTCCACTGAGGCCCACAGGGACATGTGACACCCTCTTTTCCTCCTCTGCCACTCCACTGTGTGAAGCACGGTGAGGTTACAGAGCTCCCCTTGGGCTTTGAGTCATCCTAGTGTGGATTGGCATCGTTTGTTGAAGTGGGAGGAGTACTGCATTTTGGAGGCAGGCAGTTAGCTAGTGGTTTTCTCTGGACTTGGTGGCAATCTTTGTTATCAAGTGATTTATGGATTTTTTTTTTTTTTTTTTTTTGAGACAGGGTCTCACTGTCACCCAGCCTGGAGTGCAGTGGTACAGTGATGGCTCGCTGCAGCCTCGACCTGGGCTCAGGTGATCCTCCACCTCAGCTTCCCGAGTCGCTGGGACCACAGGTACATGCTGCTGCACCCAGCTAATTTTTAAAATTTTTCCGTAGAGGCGGAGTCTCACCATGTTGCTCGGGCTTGTTTTGAATTCCTGGGCTCAAGCAGTCCTTCCACCTTTTCTTCCCAAAGTGCTGGGATTATGGATAGTAAGCCCATGCCTGGCCGACGTATGGATAGTAGTATCACACAATCCTAACTTCCTAAGCCAGTGAATTCACAGCATTTCACCCAGAGTTGATCTTCCCTCTCATTATCTTATGAGGGACTGTGGTCCCAGAACCAGGCACCATCCCTGTTACTTGGGAACTTGTAAGAAGTGCAAGTGCTTAGCCCTGTCCCGACCTACTGCATCAGAAGTTTTGGGGCTGGAGCCAGCAATCTGGCTTCACATGCTCTCCAGGTGATTCTTACTCATGCTCAAGTTTGAGAAATCAAACCATGTTAGAAATCTTTGAGAATCAGAAGCAGCTGCTGCAATTCTAGGCTGCGAATCTGGTCACTGACTTGTTTCCAGGTCTCTTAGTTTGGGTTCTTCCTAAGCTGCTGGCAATGCCTCCCCTCTCAGCTCACTCACTGCCCTGTTTTGCCCCTGTATTCGAAAGTGATCATGGGCCGCCTGTGCCCTGGTCATTGATAGTGCAGGGAGAGGAATCAATGAAAGCGCTTCCCCGTGTTTGGAGGGTCCACTCCTGTCCCTTCCAAACTCTGGAGCTTTCGTACATGTCTTTATTCTCATCAGTGATGTTACCTCCTGGTTCCGGTTGTCGTGCCAGACCCCTGTTTCCTCATTAGGGATGGCGCCAGGTTCAACAGGCCGGAGAAGAGAGCCAGTGAAGGAAACAGGATTTGGGGGAACTTAGAGGGCAGTCGGCAGTCTAGTGGTGGTGGTGCTGGATGGGAGCACCTCATCCGCTTGTAAAAAGCATGCAGATTATATAGCACCTTCCCCCAGTAACCTCCACATGGCAACCTTCGTTTCCTAAGAAGCCATTGTTATGTGCATCTACCATACACTGGTGCTGTATGGTTCACTGAGTGCCCCTTGTGCCCAGCATGGTGGAGGGTACTCAGAGGCTAAAGGAAAGGACGGTGAAGTAGAGACCTGCCTCACTGAGTTTATATCTCTGAGCTAGTTTGGGAGCCACAATAGTGGTTACCCCTTCCTAGAGCTACACGCAGAAGCTCTCTCTGCCTCCCCATCACACTCCTTCCCACCCGTCAGCACTGGTCACACTGTCTGGGGATTCTTGGTTTGCTTCTCATGCCCCCTCTGCTGTGAGCTTCCTCAGGGCAGTGCCTCTGTCTTGTTTCACGTCATGCCTGGTAACTGACATGTTGCACCTGGACACAAAGTAAATGAGAAGACACATTGTTGTAAGGTGACAAGGCTTATCCCATTGAGCAGTGCTGGGGCTAAAAACGTCCTAGAGCAAGCCAGCTGTTACAGTCCACCTTCAGTCCTGGCCATGAGCAGCGTCCGTGGTCCACCAGGGGTGGATTTTCCCTCTGGCCTTAGATTACAGTGGCAAGGGCTGGAGTAGTAATTGAGGGAGACAATGTGCGGTATAGTCAGATGTATGAACACAGCTCTTACACACTAGATGGTAGGCGTGGGGCTCTCCCACCCCACCTGTTCGTTACCCATCCCAGGTCTGTGCTGATCACTGCCAGACATAGCCTGCTCCAAAAGCCTTCTGGCCTCGGCATCCCTTTGTTTTTAATTTTTATTTTTAAGACAGTCTCGCTCTGTTGCCCAGGCTGGAGTGCAGTGGTGCAAACACAGCTCACTGCAACCTCTGCCTCCTGCGTTCAGTGATTCTTGCGCTTCAGCCTCCCGAGTAGCTGGGATTAAAGATGTACACCACCACACCCAGCTAATTTTTGTATTTTTAGTAGAGATAGGGTTTCACCATGTTGGCCAGGCTGGTCTCGTGTGATCTACCTGCCTCCCAAAATGTTGGGATTACAGGTGGGAGCCACCACACCCAACCTGTTTTTAAAATTTTTATTGTCTGTATTTGAAGTTTACAACATGATGTTATAGAATAATGGGATGGATATAGATAGCATGGTGGTTACTGTGGTGAAGCCGATGAACATATCTGTTATCTCACATAGTCACCGTTTTTAGTGTGTGTGAGGAGCAGCTGAAATCTACTTAACAGAAATCCCTTATGTTGTGCATGAGCCCTCTAAACTTACTCATCCTGTATATCTGCTACTTGGTGTCCTTTGACCTACATCTCCTTATTTCCTCCAGCTCCTGCCCATGGTAATCGCCATTTTATTCTCTATCTGTGTATGCTTGACCTTTTAAAAATTTTTTTTTTTAACATTGCACACATAAGTGAGATATGCACTGTTTGTCTGTGTCTAGTTTATTTTGTTTAACATAGTATCCTCCAGGTCCATCCATGTTGTGGCAAATGACGGGATCTTTCTCTCTCTATTTTTTTTTGTTGTTGTTGTTGAGACAGGGTCTCCCTCTGTTACCTGGGCTTAAGTGACCCTCCCACCTCATCCCCTGGGTAGCTGGGACTGCAGGTACATGCCACCATGCCTGGTTAATTTTTGTATTTTTTGTATAGATAGGGTTTCGCGATGTTGCCCAGGCTGGTCTCCAACTCCTGGGCTCAAACCATCCTTCTGCCTTGGCCTCCAAAAGTGCTGGGATTATAGGCATGGGCCACCATGCCTAGCCCAGGGTCGTCATCATCGTCTTCTTTTTTTTTTTTGAACTAGAGTTTTGCTCTTGTCGCCCAGGCTGGAGTGCAATGGCGCAATCTCAGCTCACTGCAACCTCCGCCTCCCAGGTTGAAGTGATTCTCCTGCCTCAGCCTCCCGAGTAGCTGGGATTACAGGTGTGTGCCACCTCGCCTGGCTAATTTTTTGTATTTTTAGTAGAGATGGGGTTTCACCACGTTGGTCAGTCTGGTCTTGAACTCTTGACCTCAGGTGATCCACCCGCCTCAGCCTCCCAAAGTACTGGGATTACAGGTGTGAGCCACCGCGCCCGGCCAAGGGTCTTCTTTTTATGGGTGAATAATGTTTTGTTTTGTGTGTGTGTGTGTGTGTATGCCACATTTTCTTTTTCCATTCATCTGTTGATGGTGACTTAGATTGTTTCCGTATCTTGGCAATTGGGAGCAATGCCGCAGTGAATATTGGAATGCAGATGTCTTTGTGAGGTGTGATTTGATCTCTGTTGAGTATGTGTCCAGAAGAGGGATAGCTGGGTCTATTTAGTGTATACTGATAAGCAGCACACAGCAGGCACATTGGATAGCATAAATGCCATTTCTCTCACAGTCTGCTGACCCCTTCCTAGAGTTAGGTTTTTCTTGTTCCTGAGACAATAATGTGGCTGTAAGTACTAATAGAGACAGTGGCATTTGTGGGATGCTTATGATCTGCCAGCCCCTGTGTTAAGTGTTCTCTGTGTCTGTTTCAGGTGGGTCCGCTGTGTGCAGAGGCTCCATGGGATGTGTTGTCTTCATAGCAGCAGGGCGCTGGACCATGGGTCCCTAAGGTGAGATTTTTAGACTGTTGTCTGGAATATGTTTTTTCCCATCCTTCAGAGTCATATGCTATTCCTGGAGCTTGGATGATGTAGGGGAAGCAAGGTAAAAGTGGTATCCCGTGGTTCCCCGTTCTGTCCTGCTGTGAGGCTGTCTCTCACATGCCTTCAGTGGCTATTGCAGAGGAAGGGCCTCCAGAAATCTGGATGGGTAAAGTGAGTTCCCTGGGGGAACCTTCCTCCCTGCTTGAGCGCTGGTGTGTCCGCAGTATGCTGTGATCTGGATTAACCGTGAGTTTTTCTTTCGGGGTGTGTGTGTATGATGTTAGGACCACATGCTCCTGACCTTTTCCCACCCAAAAGCATTTCCATTTTTTAAATGCTGGAAGTATCTTGACTCCTTTTGGGGTCTTAGAAGTACACATGGTGGCCGTGGCTGGGCCTCTGCTCAGCTCACCTGCTCTCCCTGTCTCAGGCCATTCCTCAGGCCCTTGACACCAGCCTCCCTCCCTTACTGGCTCTCTTCTGTCCTTCCCTGTTCTTGTATCCAGAAATGACCATGGGTTGCTTGTGCCCCGATCATTAATAGTACAGGGGTAGGAGTGCTAAGAGGCGTTTTCCCTGCGTTGGTCCAGCCTTCCCTTTCAAACCCTGGAGCTTTCCCATGCTGCAGCCTTTTTCCTGCCAGCCCTTCAGAGCTTGGGCCTTTGTAGGCCTGTGTGATACGGTGACTAGACCCACCCGCTGACTTCTGAGGGTTTTTGTCTTTTCATGTTAGGGATCCTCCTGCCAGAAACCAGTCTGCATTTCTCTTTGGACCCCATGCTGGAATGAGTTCAGATAGCAGTGAAGGGCACATGTGAGAATTGTGAATCATGGACTTTGCTTCATGAAATGTGAAATCCATATTGTTTCTCCAGGCACCATCAGTAATGTCGAATAAATGGAGAAAGTTGTAGGTGGGACTAGGAAAGCTGTATTCCTGTGGATCACTCTAGCTGGTCATTTGCCCCGATTGTGAACTGTTTGAAAGAAAAACAGAACTAAGATGTTTGTCCTTTTGTGTCCTTTCTGCTGGGATTTTTAATTTGGTGTGCCTGAATGAGGAGCTTTGCCCTGCTTGAATGGGACCCCTCTCCGTGGTGTCAGCTTGGGGAGGAGGAGATGGCCCTGGAGACTAAATACTTGTATGCTTTCTTACCCTCTTAGGTCTCAGCCTTAGATTCAAGGACAGTCCAAGGAAGTCCTAAGACCATGGAGTTGGTGACCTGGGATCTGGGTTTGCTGGTATTTCTCACCATGGTGAGTTGATGCCAAGAACCGGCACCCACAGCCAGAGGCCCAACTGGTCTGTGCTTATGCAGATGGGAACTTCGAATCACTGGTCTCACTTGTTCTCTGTTGCAGAATCTCTTGGTTGTGTTTATGGACACCAGAGGGGCAGAGAATAGAGAGTGAGGCTAACACATGAAGCGTCACCAGAGCTGCTCCCTGCTGCCTGCTCAGAGCACCTCAGATCCACTGTTCAATCTGCACAAGATTCGGGGTCCAGACATGGAAGACTTCAGCTGCCTCGGAGGACCGTGGACAGGGAAGGCCAGCCCCGCATCCCTCTGGCCATGCCTGGTATGACTTTAATAACTAAGAGTTTTATTCTTGAATTTGTAGCTGTCGTTCACTTTTTACCCACCCATTCAATAAACCTTACAGAATTGCTCCATCTGCCTCTTAAATCAGTGACAACCCGTGAGCCTGCAAGACTGGCTTTGGAGAAGGTAGGCCATAGGCCAGATCTGATTTTCACTCTTTGAGCCTTTCCTATTCTTAATGCATATATTCTGGAAACTTGACTCAGGTTATTGTTCGAGGTGTACATTTGGAACTAGGAGGTGAACAAGTGCTGGTAGTTGGTTCACATTTAGGCATTTAGGACCCATGAGAATTGAGGGCATTGCAGAATAGTCAAGGTAGATTATGGAGTGAGACAGGTCTGATGTCATTCAGGAAGGCTGGAGTGTCCTGGATGACCTGGCTCATAAGTAAATGCCTACTTGTGAGATCAACTATCCCAGTTTGCCTGAGATTGAGGGGTTTCCCAGAAAGTGGGTTTTTCATTGCTAAACCCAGGGAGATCCTGAGCAAACTGGGGCAAGTTGGTCAGCATGCGTGGGATGTAAAATCCATGGTGTCAACTTGAGAGCCAGGTTAATGGGGTAACAGTGGGAGTAGGGTGAACATGGAGCAGCTGCCATTGATGGAACTGAGGGGTGCCCTTACAGTCAGGCTTTGGAGATTAGGGTACAGTCAGTTATTGCAAGGGCTAGGCATGGTGCCTTGTGCCTGTATTACTAGCACTTTGGGAGGCCAAGGTGGGATGATTTCTTGAGGCCAGGAGATCAAAACCAGCCTAGGCAACAGATCCCGTCTCCACAAAAATTAGCCAGGCACGGTAGTGCACTCCTGTAGTCCTAGCTACTCAGAAGGCTGAGGCAGGAGGAGTGCTTGAGCCCAGGAGTTTGAGGATTCAATGAGTTAATGATGGCACCACTGCAGCCCAGCCTGGGTGGCAGAGTGAGACCTGTTTTTAAGAGAAAGAAAAATTGCAACAATGACATTATCTAAGGATGTGCATGTGTGAACTCTCATCTCTTGATTTACAGAGGGAGGAATCTACACATGTCCCAAGGGCCATGGTGAAAAGGTGCAGTTAATCTCCCCATTTGAAGTTAAAACCACCTTGGCTGGAGCTGGGGCAAAAATCAGGCTGGTAAGCCTGTCTTGATGAATTTGGCACATTAATGGTCTGCCAGGCATTCTTTTTTTTTTTTTTTTTTTCCTCCTTGTTGTTTTTTGTTTTTGAGACAGTCTCACTGTTTCCCAGGCTGGAGTGTAGTGGTGTGATCTTGGCTCACTGCAACCTCTGCCTCCCAGGTTCAAGCGCTTCCTGTGCCTCAGCCTCCTAAGTAACTGGGACTATGCGCATGTGCTGCAACGCCCAGCTAATTTGTGTATTTTTAGTAGAGACGGGGTTTTGCCTTGTTGGTCAGCTGGTCTTGAACTCCTGACCTCAAGTAAACTGCCCGCCTTGGCCTTTCCAAAGTGTTGAGATTACAGATGTGAACCACCATGCCTGGCCTAAGAGGCAGGCATTTTTGATGTTTAAAGGCACCACACCACCAGTCGGTTCCCTGCAGAAGGATCCAGAAATCACAGGTCCTTTTTCTGCGTTGGCCTTTGAGGACCATCCTCTGACTTCTGTTTGCCACCTTTAGCTGTGTTTGCTTGAACAGATGCCAGGGGAAGGAATCTGGGTCCACTTGAGGAAGCTGTAACTGATGACTGATGTCTGCCACAGTGGAGGGGATAGCAGTAGAATACAGGCCAGTACCTAAGTCTGCATATTTCATCTGGCATTAGATCATCATGTGTGCCTCTTGCCACTGTTGCATGTGAGGCAGGAGCCATCCCAGGTCTTTAGGGCCCGAAGAACTCTGAGAAGGGCAGTCCATTGACCAAGGTGGCCCAAGAGCCAGGATTAGGTCAAGGAGGCGTGGCCTTGCTGGGCTGTGTGCCGAGTATGAGGGCCTGGGGAAGCAGCTGGTGGGAGACTCCACAGCAGAACTGAGAGGAGAATGGAAAGCTGGGAGAGTGAGGCTCATTCGCTCAAAAAGCATTGTGCATTTACTTGGGAGCCAGATGCTAAGCTAGAGGAAAGGATACTAGGTGAGTAAGGCAGTTTGTGACCTCGAGGAGATCCCAGCCCAGATAAGTATATGTAGCTGTATTTTAGAGGCTTCGTTCCAGACGACTGCAATAAAGTGAATTGCACACATTTTCTGGTTTCCCACTGCATTAAAGTTATTTTAGCCAGGTGTGGTGGCACATGCACCTGTAGTCCCAGCTACTCTAGAGGCTAAGGCAGAGGATTGCTCGAGCCCAGGAGTTCAAAGCCAGCCTGGACAACATAGTGAAGACCCTTGTGTAAAAAAATTAAGTTTATACTATAGTGTAGTTTATTAACTGTGCAATAGCATTATGTCCAAAACTATAAATACCGTAATTTAAAAATATGAAAGAATGCTAATGGTTATCTTTAATCTCAACTGCTTGGGAAGCTGAGCTGTGCACCAACATGCCCAGCTAATTTTTTTTCTTTTTTTGAGATGGAGTCTTGCTCTGTTACCCAGGCTGGAGTGCAGTGGTGCGATCTCGGCTCACTGCAACTTCCACCTCTCGGGTTCAAGCAATTCTCTGCCTCAGCCTCCCAAGTAGCTGGAATTACAGGCACTCATCACCATGCCTGGCTATTGTATTTTTAGTAGAGATGGGGTTTCACTATCTGGCCAGGCTGGTCTTGAACTCCTGACCTCGTGATACACCCACCTTGGCCTCCAAAAGTGCTGGGATTACAGGTGTGAGCCACCGTGCCCAGCTGCTTATTAATTTTTGTAAGAGACAGGGTCTTGCTATGTTGAGACCCTGTCTGGTCTCAAACTCCTCCTAGGCTCAAGCTATCCTTTCACCTTGACCTCCAAAGTACTGGCATTACAGGTGTCAGCTACCACGCCTCGTCCCCTTTCTGGAATTTTAATGTCTCCAGTCCTTTGCCTCCAGAGCTCTCCGATGCCTTTAAAACGATGGTTTTCTATTTTATCCACCCTTTCCAGTTCTTAGCAGAAACATTGGCCTGTCAACTACTCCCTTCTATTTAGAGGCAGAAGTCTTGACATTAGCAAATTTTATTTAAATTTTTTTTTCTTTTTTTTCCTGTTTGGAGAATGGATTATACCAGGGGAAGAGTGGAAGCAGGGTGACCAGTTGGAAGATTATGGCAGTTGTGTAGGTGAGAGATATTGGTGACTTGGACTAGGGAGATAGAGGTAGACAGCAAGATAGATATCTATGTTCCAAGAGAGAAAGGTGAAGATACAATTTTAGGTGAATGAAGCTCAGAGCAGGGAAGTATGTAAAATGTGATATACCATTTTTTTTTTTTGGTTAAAAGAAGATTTATTTGAAACCAGCCTGGCCAACATGGTGAAACCTCATCTCTACTGGAAATACAAAAATTAGCCAGGTGTGGTGGCGGGCGCCTGTCATCTCAGCTATTCGGGAGGCTGAAGCAGGAGAATCGCTTGAACCTGGGAGGTGGAGGTTCCAGTGAGCTGAGATCGCACTATTGCACTCCAGCCTGGGCAACAGGAGTGAAACTCCATCTCAAAAAAAAAAAAAAAGAAGATTTGTATGTATATATGCAAATTGGGGTGATATATTTTTTATTTTAACATGCCTTTCTCTTTTTTCTTTCCCAGAACATCATAGTTTCTCTAATATACTGCGGGCCTCCTTTTGGCTAGGGGGAGATTTGAATGCCAAGGAAGGCCACAGTGTCAGTCAGCCTTTACCATTCAAAAATAGGATTATGCAATAGGACAACAGCCTTGCAAGTCAGGGTTCTTCAATTTTTTTTTTTTTTTTTTTTTTTTTTATTATTGCTCCTTTATAACCAGTAAGCAAACTTCGAGAATCTATTCCCATAAAATTTTTCAGGGATGTGAAGTGGACACTTTTGTCTACCATTAAGGCTAGCTGGAGTCAGAAAGAATAAAGATATAATTAGGGATCACAAAAGGTTTTTACCTGATGCTTTTTTTTTTTTTTTTTTTAAGGGATTAAGGAAGAAGAAGGGGAACAGAGAAGCAGATGACAAGAGGCTCACATGGGTGTCCCAATTTCCCTTCTCTGGACTTTGACTTGGAGAGGGTGCAAGTATATTAGCGAGAACACTGAGAACAAGAGAGGAGACCTTGACTTTGCTTCCCATTTAGCACTGTGCAGGAGGCCACCTCTTGAATTGCCCCCTGCCCTAAACTGGTATAGCCATGGCAACGGGACAGCTTGGTGTGGGTGGGCAGAGGGAGGTATCTTCGCCAGCTTGGGCTGCCATAACAAAATTCCATAGATTGGGTGATTTAAACAACAGAAGTTAATTTGCTCAAAGTTCTGGGGGCCAGGAAGTCCAAAATCAAGGTGCTGGCTGATTCAGTTTCTGATGAGAGCTCTCTTCCTGGCTTGCAGATGGCCACCTTGCTGTGTCCTCCTATGGTGGAGAGAGAGAGAATGGCCTCCCTGGTGTCTCTTCTTATAAGGGCACTAATTCTATCAGATTATGGCTCCACCCTTATGACCTCATTTAACCTTAATTACCTCCTTAAAGGCCCTATCTATAGATACAGTTACATTGAGGGTTAGGCTTTGTATTAGTCTGTTCTCACGCTGCTAATAAAGACATACCCGAGACTGTGTAATTTATAAAGGAAGGAGGTTTAATTGATTCACAGTTCCCACATGGCTGGGGAGGCCTCACAATCATGGGGAAAGGTGAATAAGGAGCAAAGTCACGTCTTACTAATGGCGGCAGGCAAGAGAGCTTGTTCAGGGGAACTCAACGTTTATAAAACCATCCGATCTCCTGAGACTACCACGAGAACAGTATGGAGGAAATCACCCCCTTGATTCAGTTGTCTCCACCTGGCCCTGCCTTTGACACATGGGGATTATAACGCAGGGTGAGATTTGGGTGGGGACACAGCCAAACCATATCAGGCTTCAATATGTGACTTTTGCGGGTAAAATGTTCCGTCCATAGCAATTCAGTCCTTTGGACTTTAGCATCCCGGAGCTGCCCTGGGATCCTGAATGGTCTATGTCAACCCAGAG